TTTTTTTTTTCTGTCAGCCGTCAGAATGAGAGATCAAGTGAGTCAGGGAGTGTCGGTGCCACAGGCTTGTAATAAACAGCCTGTTTGCCAAGGAAGAGGGCTCAGTTTGTTGTGGGTCTGCTTGATTGGGGGCACGGTGTTATCTCCTTTTGTGCCCGAGCTGTCTCACAGAGTGTCTAACCATGATTGTACACCTTTGTGTTGCACGTGCGAGCGTGGCTCCGGTGTCCTCCCGGTTTGGGCAGGAAAAGAAAAACTCCACGATGAGTGGGATTTGTGTTCTTGGTCTCAGGCTTTCTAAGGCATGGAGTCTTGAAACTGCTGGGCAGGCTGGCACTGTAAAACCCCTTTCACAAGCAGGGCGTGCGGTATTCACACAATATCTCTGTGTCGTGCTGGTGACTGTTGTTGCACATGTGTCACAGAACAGTAGCCTGCTGGAACTGGCTTCACTGCTGTGTAACACGAGGGTGAAATGGCAGGCACAGTTGTCGAATGCCTGCTGTCCTCCGCGCACGAAGCTTTCGCTTCGGACTGGGGGCTTGTTCTGAATTGGGTGCAGAACGACAGAGGCCTGACCCCCCTCCTCACCTCTTTGGTAATGCTTTCAGCAAGTGAAAGTAGGTGGGGACCCGGGCAGTGGTGCTGCGGGTCTATAAATAGACGCTGGTTATGGAGTCCGCAAGTTTTCCACCCTCTGGAGGATTAAGTACACCCCTCCACAGCTGCTGGTCGCTGAAGGTCATGAGTCATTAAATTAGAGGGGGGAAAAAAATTAGCAGTGTTTGCTGATCTGCCTTCTACAGTTTTGGACTTCAGTTTTCAGGCGTGCACCATACCAAGTAAAGGGGTCTGGACTCTACATTTGTTGGCACTTGATATTTTCCTTATAAATCCACCCTTGGCTTTACAATCTCTTCACCACTCTCTCTCGCTCCCTCGACTTGGCAAATTGCACCCTCAGACCGATTAAGGGGTTTGAGTTCCCGCGATGTTGCCAGCCTCTTGGAAAAGGGATCGTGTTAATTTTCCATGTAGCTGTTTTTCCTCACACCGCAGTGGAAAGAGCTCAGTGTTCAGAGAGAGATTCCTCTCTGTTTCCCTACGGCTCCGCAAAAGCATTGTCTCGCGTACCTGATGAGACTTTACAATAGAAGCTCAGAGGACAGGATGACATGTGTTAATAAAGGAACAGGTTGCTGCCATGATAACAAAACACTCTTCCTGCAGAAACAGCAAGCTGGAGTAGTTTAATTGGTTTAGGATTACATTAGGAAGTTTTAAACAAAAACCAGAGCGTTGGGATTTAATGTTGGAATTGTACGAAAACACAATTCTGTATAATCCTCCAAATGTTCTGTTTTTTTGTGCAATGTGCAACATCTGGTTTATCTGAACAGCCTGTGAATGGTGTCAGAAATGCACTGTGCAGTATAAATTCCTAGCACTCCCAAACTCATTAAGGATTAAAAATGATCTAGGCTCTAAACAGGACGTTTCGAGACGTGGTCAAGCACCGTGCAAAAAAATAATAGAAATAAATAAACATCCCTGATGTTACCCAGCACACAGACACAACTGAGGCAAGGGCTTTAAAAAATACAGTTTTAGCAAGTATCTTTCAGCCTGTCTGCAGGCTTTTCATTTGGACTGAAATGTGCAGGCTCTTAATTGTTTTGATTGCCTTTGAAC